AAAAAAAAACAACCTGGAAAAATCAATAAAATATTATAAGACGACCAACATAGAAAATGTAAGTTCATAAGCTGTAGTAACAATAAACCTACCCTGCAAAACAGGTACATTCAGCAGTAAGCACCTCTCCACTTTCCTTGTGTACACAAACCCAAAGGGAGTAAGACTCGTTACTGGTTTTTTCCTCTGGAACACAACATCCACGTACAAAACAATATTTTACATTCGTACTTATATGGTGAAACATCACATCATGAATGTGGTTGGAAGTTAGCAAACTCTGTCCCTGTTTCATTGCTTTAAAAGACTTCTGCATGTAGTTCTCGACGTCTTTCTCTAGTACATCTGGGAAGTTTTGACTTCCTCTTTCCCATCCAATAGTCAAATTAGCAGGAAATGGGAGTTTTATACCACAGTCGATAGTCAGTTTTTCACACCGTCGAACTTTGTTATCGATTTCCACTTCTTCCTTTTTCTTTAGAGCTTCTAACTTTAATTTCGACGCAAAATATACTTTTTCAGCAAGTTCAGCTTTTCTTCCATTTATAACTACTCCTCGCTCTTTCAAAAACGCTTTTAAATCATCTACTTTCCACTTCATAAAGTCGTTTAGACTCTTATCACTACATTCTGATTTGGCCGCCATTTTGAATCTTTGCCCCCTGGAGTACCACGTGACAGAAATATTACCCAACATTCATTTCGCACTTTCAAAAATGGCGGACATCGTGAATAAGAGCTATTCCCTTGGATAGATAGATAGATTTTTGGCGATTGGTGAGCAATTTTCTCCACTCCTAACTAAAAACTAAAAACTCCTAATTCCAACTAAAAGCTGTACGTGTTTATTTCAGTACGCCACGTTATTTAACGGTCGTTTATTACGTACTGGTACGTGCCGTCCACTTATGCAACCGCGCGATATAATCTACGTCACTAATATCGCTAATATAGTTAAGGTATCAGCGTACCCAAAACCGTCACGTTTTAATGATTGTTTGATTTTTATATCATTGGAAATGTCGTTTGTAGATCTAGGTATTTAGTAAAGTTTTGAAGAGATACGAAGTTTACAACAAAAGTTATTGCGCTCAAAATATTTTTTATTCTTAATTGGATTAATGGCGTTGATGACAGCTCACATCAAACGAGTTTTATATACGACCGTGTAGAGTGAGTCGATTGAAGCATGCCGTAACATACAAAAGAATATGTCTTCGGACTGCCATTGTCAAGGGCCAATAAGCAATATATATCGATAAATATGCTCACCGGCAGTTTTTATATGTTAAGTATGTCCGTCCTTTGGATCCAGAGTTGTTAACCTAACCCTCATGTTGATTCTCGGTTTTYTGCTTCTTTCTCCCTCTCTTTTCTCGGGGGATCACTCTATTTCTTTCTCTTGTATTAGTTTAATTTATGATTTTACACGTTTTGATTTGAAATGGCCAACATTTGCGAGAAAAGGAATCAATTATTTTTGCAATTAGCATATCCTTGCTTCGCTTTGGTATCGCTAATCTTCTTGGCCTTTGGCATTCCTGGACATTATCGAACATTAACTTCGGCCTCAACGAAAATTGCATACAAAAAACTGTATTTGTAGTAAAATCTTACGAGTTACAATTTGATGTTTTTGAAAGTAAACTGACCGTACTACTACTTAAATCAGTTCTATAGCTGTCATCGCATCTTTTATGCTGAAATGACGTAGTTTCCGTTATGGTCTTATAATATGGTATTACCCGGTATAATCCCATTACGGACTAAAAACTGTTTTTGACTCATTTCTCGAAACAAAATTTACGGTAAGTAGAGCCAACGGTAACTCCGGAAACCGAGTGGATTGACATCGAGATGGCCGAGGAAGCCAAGAATGTTCGGCGAACAGCCAAAGCGAAGTTTACCAGGAAGCGAAACGAGCTCCTGAAGTCAATGGATGCCGACCAATGACGCCAAATGGTCGAAGGCAACTACGTGAAGCTTTCCGAAGCATGGGACATCGTAGAAGGGAAACACGATCTCTACACSTTATATCTAACTGATGAGGAGCTAGAAGTCGCCGAAAGATGGATAACAGAACTACAGGACCACTTTGCCGAAGCGACATCGCTCAAAATTAAGTATATTCAAGATTTAAATAGAAAAGAACATTTCGCGCGCGAGAATATATTACGTCATGAAAMAGAGTTAAATGAGCGCGCGGAAAATGCAAGAAAAATCGAGAAAGCGCTTATGATGCGCGCGAAAGCTGAAGCGATCTTTAAAACGGTCTGTGAAAATACTAAACATTTTCGGGAAGCTAAAAACATTGCCTCGCACACGTTAGAAAGAGCTTTAAAACAGATCGAAGATGCAAGCGCAGAGTGTAAAAGCGCGAACGATGACGTCTTGGAGTTCGCAGATCAAGACACAGCAGAAAACRCAATAAAGTTCGCCGCACGCATACAATGCCAATATGATGAGATGATAGGAAACCTGGGCGAGAAAATCCAACCAAAGGACCAAAAGCCTTTGAAACAAGATTGCCACGCATCATCTAGCCTGCAACTCGAAAAAATTCGCGCATACCCTCAATTCAAACGAGACTTTWAAAAACGAGTCATACCACATCTAAAAGCCGACGATGTTTCGTATGTGTTGCGCTCGTGCTTAGGCAGCGACCCAGCAAACGCAGTCAAAAGCATCGACGATGACGTAGGCGAGATGTGGAAAAGACTAGATGAAAAATACGGTGACCCAGCAAAGGTCGCGGACGTAATCATTGACGGAATACGGAGGACGAGGATGATAAGAGAAGGCGAAGAAAAGCGGTTTGTTGAGTTTGTGGAGATTGTTGAAGATGGCTACAGAGATCTTAAAAGGTTAGGATTAGAAGCCGAGATAACGACAACGAGCTCTGTCAGCATAATAGAAAAGAAATTGCCCGSCGATGTCCGACGTAAATGGGCCGAGATTGTTAGCGCGGACGACAGTACAGTTGATAAGACCAACAAGTTCCCTTCACTWCTAAAATTCTTACGTAGTCAGCGGGGTGCAATAGAGTATGACACTTCGTCGTTAAGAGCGCCAGCTAACACAATAAAAGCCGTGATTCATCACAAAACTACAAAGGAAGACATCGACAACAAAGGTCAAAGAACACCTCAAGTCAAGTGCTTGATACACGAGGAAGGTAAGCATTCTACAGACGAGTGCAAAGTCTACCTTGCGAAACCTCTGGATGATAAAAGGACGTTGCTAAAAGATAAAAACGCTTGCTGGGCATGCCTAAAAGTTGGACATCGCTCGCGCGGATGTAGATCGAAGAAAACCTGTGGAATAAACGATTGTCCTTTGACTCATCAYCAGTCACTGCATGAAGAAAACCAGTCCGTACCGAGCACGTCGAGGTCAGCGAATGTTTGCAGTAACACCGATACTGACGCATGCCTGTTATAAGTACAAAGGATCAAAACCAAAAGGGGTKCGCTTAACGTAATGTGGGACAATGCAGCCTCTCTATGTTTCATCACCAACTCCAAAGCCAAGGAACAAAATCTCAAAGGGAAAAGAGCTGATTTATCTATCATAAAGATAGGAGCCCAAGACGAGAAGATCAATACCATGAAGTATGTGCTGCCATTAGTTGATAAAGAGGGTCAAGTGGTACACATTGAAGCCTATGGTATAGAGAAGATCACCTCAGATATAGAAAGCGTAGACACGGACAACCTGGCAAGTCTATTCAAAGGTGTGACAAAGGAAGAGATTGAACGTCCAACAGGGACCGTCGACGTTCTGATTAGTTATGAGTACGCTGCGTATCACCCAGAAAGAATCCGAAACGTTGGACACCTTTTGCTACTTAAGAATCGCTTTGGTGCTTGTATTGGAGGTACACATCCATCTGTAAGAAATGCTATCAGATCACAGGACCTTAACCATGCAAGGGTACAACATGTAATCAAAGTGGACGACTTCTATAAGTTAGAAAATCTCGGCGTTGAGTGCGTACCACGTTGTGGAAGCTGTAAATGTGGCCAATGTGCTATTGGAAGTAAAAACTACAGTATCAAAGAAGAGATAGAGCTTGACTTGGTTGAGAAAAATATGAAGTTTGACGCTTAAGACAATAGATGGATAGCAGAGTACCCATGGATTAAGGATCCAGCCGACCTTCCTGACAAATAGACGAATAGCTCTTGCCATGCTATACTCGACTGAACGCAGGCTAGGAAAGAATCCTCAGCACGCAGCTGCATATGATGAGCAAGTTCGCGATATGGTACAACAAGGTGTCGCTCGAAAACTTACCAAAGAAGAACACTTCAATTACAAAGGTCCTGTTCACTACATTTCGCACCATGAAGTACTCAAGCCAGATTCTAAATCAACTCCCGTAAGAATCGTGTTTAACAGCAGTGCAAACTACATRGGTCATGTACTTAACTCTTTCCCGTCTGCCCCTTGAAATTTAGGTCGAATYCGACCTATGCGTCAAAAGTCTATAAGTTRCCGAAATAKTAAGCWAGAGCCCTGAAATTGCTCGTACGAACTTACTAGTAGATACTGTCGATCTTACAGTTAAAAGAATTTCGCAACGAGGAAACAAAAGACACAAAACATGACTCTGCTTTGAAATGAATGCCAAAATCTGAGTTTGAAGGACGGCAGAGTACACTGATTTTCATCTCAATTTGTAGCGTCAAAATATGTTCTCCTAGCAAAAAGTCCACTTGGTTTGCAAACCCCTTTGATAGAACGTCCTCATTTCGATGTTTTTATTTTGTCAAATGCACTGCAGATTTTTAAACAGCCCTCTTTTGAAGACCAGGTATAACAAACTTCTATGCACGATCGAAATGCATCATGGGAAGACGGAAAATTTGGACATAAATCGTGCAGCATTCTTCTTTTAAGAATTTTTTTATAAGTGTGAGCTCCCCCGCACCTACAGGCAAAATATCGGGCCAATTGCATTCTTTGGTTGTCAAATATTGCCAAAATTACCTTGGTAGGTTGGAAAATCTGCCACAGATGGACCAGGAAAGCGATCTTACAATGATGTCTCCAGTTCAAAACAAACCGTGACTTGGAGCCATTGTCTTCGAAAAATCGCTTTCCACCTCTGATTTCTTCCAGAAGATTGTCTCTGCCGACTAGTCAAGCTTAATGATGCAAGCCTAGGGGCTCCTGTGGCAGCAAAAAGCTCAAAAAAACACTTATAAACGGGTTTTTAGGTAAATTTAGGCTCAACCAGTCGATAAACAAACGGTCTGACCTAAATTTACAAAGCCCTGCATAAATTAATGCTCCCTAGGGAATTCAAATCCGAAATAGTTTTATTGACAGCACCTTATATGGAAGTCAATTATTTTATCAAGATGTTAGGGTCGAAAAAGCTCAAAAATCAACAAATCGACATCAGTCGACAATGAGTTAAGTC